CACACACACACACACACACACACACACACACACACACACACACACACACACACACAAAGCCGTAATCTCATTTACTTGGGCATCAGGAAGGAAACAAGATTCCTTTTGACACGTTTGTCATTGGGATCCAGCCTCGGAACACCCAGTGCCCTCTGCTTCCAGCCTCACATGAGGATCAAGGTCAGATGTTTCCTTCACTCACGGGCATTTGTTTTCCAGGGAAGCCAGGAGCTAACTGCAACCCTGCTGTTCTAAGAGTGGAGCTGTTTCCAAAACTTCCAGCCCTCTCCCACTGCCCTGGAACTCTGTGGGCCACCGGAGGACAGGAGCATGGCAGAGAAAAGCCTGTGGTCTCCCTGATGAAGAAATATCCCAAACCATAAGGCCAGCTGTTAACAAGAATGACAGTCAACAAAGGAGGAATCACAGAAACAGATGCCCCCAGCTCTCTGCTGTGTGATTGGGAGGGGGTCGGGTGCCCGGGTACACAATTCACCCTTTGCTTTCCTGAGAAAACGGACAGAGTGAAGACGTAATAGGCACTGACAAGAGTGGAGATCTTCACATCCCCAATGTGCTAAAGACCCCAAAGATCCCTTGTGAAGAGAAGCCCCTCTACTAAGAGGAAGAGAGAAGGGGGTGGAGGATAAAAGAAGCTGCATGGCTGGGTGCTCCCCAGGCAAGCTGGTTTCTATTTAAACTATAAAAGAGGAGAAACATGGGTATGACAACAATGTCTGTTGTGACTGTTTTAATTAGAGAAAAATCAATAATATGTGTTATGGATGAAAGATGGTTTGGCCGTGTTTGCTCCCACCGTCTGTTGCTCGTAAACACGCATGCACAGAACTGTCAGTTCATCTTGTACAGGCTCCATGTCGTTCCTCAATAGGCCAGCTAGGGAGGAGCAGGGAGGGGGGAGAGCTCTCACTAGGGTGGGAGGGGATCTGAAGAACATGGAGTCTGGGAGAAGCCAAATGTCTGTCCTGCCACCCACTGGGAGCCCTCTTTTCATTTCTTTCTGCTTCCACTTTAAAGGGTAGCAGAAAGAGAAGGATGCCCGAGAATGAGGGGAGGACGTGCAGACAGAAGAAGAAAAGGGAACAGAAAATAACAGGACTGAGAAGAACAGGACCAATACGAACTCATAGACAGGGCAGCGACGCCAAGACACACAGCAGCCTGCTACTGCCTAGACATTTTGGAGCTGAAAGCAAGCAACTTTGGTCAAAAGAGACCAGTTGTCTATTCATGAAAAGTGAAATTACTGTTGATTCCTATTTCTGCTTTTGTAATTGTTCCTCCCTTTCCATATTTTCTACAGTGAGCACGTGTTACTTACGTTAAAGAAAAGGGTTCTGGGGAATATTAACCCTTCTTTCCAGGGCACCTCTCAGAATGTCTGTGCCTTTGTTGTCCATGCATGGGATGAGGATAATTATGCCAAGAGGCTGGGCCAGGAGGGGTACAAGTTCAAAGCTAGCCTAGGCTACAAAAGTGAGTTCAAGATTCACCTGGGAATTTTAATGAGGCCTTATCTCAAAATAAAAAGTAAAGAGAGGCCTGAGGACATATCTGAGCAGTAGAGAGCCTAGAAACCACGCATAAAGACCCTGGTTCAACTCCCAGCAAAAGCGCATGAACAGAGGGTGGGGGCATCATGCTGGGAAACAGAGCTAGTGGGAATCTGGGTCTGAATCACAGAAGCTCATCAAGAAAGCTGGTGGGAAGTTGAAAGACTCGCCCTTCCTGATTTAAAACAATACAGACGCTACTGTGGTTTTAATAAGTCTGGTAATGCGACAGACACATGGGCTAGACACACAGAGTCTATGTATGTATGGCCAACTGATGCTCAACAAGGTTGCCATTCGCTAAGGGAAATGATGGAATGTCCATCGAAGGTTGCTGGGGCAGTGACATCACCACATTCAACAGAAAGAAGTTGGAGTCTACCTTAGAGCATGGGAAGAAAAATAATTTTTAATAATTTATTTAATTTTATTTTATGTACATTGGTGTGAAGGTGTCAGATCCCCTGGAACAGGAGTTGCAGACAGTTGTGAGCTGCCATGTGGGTGCTGGGAATTGTACCTGGGTCCTCTGGAAGAGCAGTCAGTGCTCTTAACTGCTGAGCTATCTCTTCAGCCCTGGAAAAAAATTTTAATTCCAAGAGGATCGTAGATAAATGTAAGACCTAAACTTATAGCGGTGGTGGCACACGCCTTTAATCCCAGCACTCAGGAGGCAGAGGCAGGTGGATCTCTGTGAGTTCGAGGCCAGCCTAGTCTACAAAGTGAGTTCCAGGAAAGGCGCAAAGCTACACAAGGAAACCTTGTCTCGAAAAAACCAAAAAAAAAACAAAAACACTCTTGGGAAAAAACACATGAGTAATCCTCATGAATTTGGAATTGGCAATTTATTCTCAGCTATATCCTAAAAGTAGGAGCAAAAATATCCACATAGAACAGACTGAGTCAGAACTAAAATGTTTTGGCCATCACAGGAAATTATCAGAAAGGTGGAAATACAAACTGCAGCATGGAAGGAACTAATTTAAAATCACATGTATGGTAAGCGTCCAGGCTTCAGGATACATGGGAACCCTTACAACTCAACTACAAAACAGCAAAGAATCAGATCAATAACAGGACTTGAAAAGGTATTTCCCCCAAAATCATCCACACTGTACAATCAGCTCGGGAGAAGCTCATTAAGCATTTGGGAAATGAAAATCAAAACTCAGTGAGATGCAGTTTCACATGACTAGAATGATTTTTTTTTACCATGAAAAGTAACAAATGCTACCGAGGCTATAGAGAAATGGGAACGTCTATGCATTGATATTGGGAATATAAAATGGTTCAGTCACAAACCGTGGGAAAGTTTGGCTGCTCTTCAAAAAGTAAAACAGAGAACCATCACATGATGGTTCTGCTCGTCAATTCTGCTCGTGGAACTGGTAATAGGTGCTCAAACAAACATGTTCACAGATGTCCCTGGGAAGAACGTCCATTGATGGGTGAATGGATGGACCAACGATGGCACTTGCATGCAATGGAATTGGGTGAAGCCACTGAAGGGAGAGAAGCACTGCTTAATGCTACAGAGGCAGTCTCAGATGCAGTGGGGTATGACTCTGCTTCTACTAACCATCCAAGTCATTACAAAACAGGCGACTCCTTAGGAGCAGAGAGTGGGTTAATCTTCACACGGGCTGTGGAGAAGAAGTGTGATTAACAGCTCCAGGCTGTAAAGTTTTCCTCTAGAGTCATGAAAATGTTTTGGAATAAGATACGCATTGTGGTTGCACAATACTGAGACTATGTTATTTGTGTTTTAATCATTCACTTTAAAATTAGTAATTCCAGCAGTTGATGGTGGTGCATACCTATAATTCCAGTGCTCAGCAGGCTGATGCAGGAGGATCAGAACAGTACCAACCAAAACCAACCAACAGAGCAAAGAAAGAGTGGCCACCGGTCCTCAGCTAGCTCAGTGGTGGTGTGCTTAGCATGCATGAAGTCCTGGGTTTGATTCCTAGCACCACACAAAATAGTTCATGTTAGGCGAGTTTTGCTTCAATAAAAACCTAATTAATTTAGAATCAATTTGAAAAGTAATTAGAGAGAGACCTCAAACAAGTGGGGGGCAGAGAGAGAAAGGTAGCAGTCAATGGTAGAATAAGAAGGGGACAAGGACCCAGACCTCAGCTTGTATAGCGAGCAGTTTCTCTCTGGTCTTCCCTTCGTACCTCTCCAGGGCCAAGGGAAGTCCCCGCAGGACTTCCTCTCTGAGCCAGCATCCCCCATTTACATTAGCCTGCCCTTTGGGTATGAAAGCATAAATGGCGTCTTGAAAATGGGAGAGACACAGGGGTTCATTTTCTCCCAGTCATCCAAACCACTGGAGCCTGCAGGACGGAGAAAGAGCACCAAGGCTGCAGAAGAAGGAGCAGAGAGCTGGGTTTTTAGCATTGTGATCACAGTATTGGTGTTTTAAAACAATCCTTTTTTTGTTAAAGCAACACACACACACACACACACACACACACACACACACACACACACTAACAGTTTCTGTTAGTATAGACACCCCTCCCCCATCTCCCAGCCCGGTTGCTATAGAAATAGTTCTATTATAGAACTAGGAACTATAGACATAGTTCTGCTTGGTAACATGTGCCTTAAGCGATACCCGGGCATTTCTGGCTCCAGACCTTGAAGTTCACAACCATTTCCACAGCTGCCTCAGTGCCCAGCATGCTAAGGATGTCGGCTAGGCAGCCTTCCCACTGTTCAGAAAATTTCACTCCTGCAGCTTCTTGGCTGGTTTTGAGAAATCACTATATGAGGTGAGTGAACTCCTCTGTGTGTTGGTATTTAAACTGTGGTCAGACAGTTAAAAAAAGAAATGAAAAGACAGTTTAGTTCATAAACGACGGCCACGAGCAGTCGCCTTCTCCTTGTCCTCCCTGGTAGGATGCAACACAGATCTGCTACTACCCACAATAAAAACGGAGGGCTGAGGATTGTTATTTTAAGGCTGCTGTCCTGGGGAAAACAAAACACATTAAACGAGAAAGATGCTTAAAGACAACATGGTGACTTTGTTCCAAAAAAACATTTGGGTCCTTTCTCTGGGAAAGGGGGTTAAAAGGTTGTCAGGGCCTTCTCCGGGGCTCCGGCTGACAGTGAACATGTGTTTCCTCCCTTTTCCCGACTCGCCAGTAGCCAGAACACTGCTTGTTTTCTGCAGAGGTTGTCAAAAACAATTTCAGTCTGGAGACGATGAATGATAAAAGAGGTTTTCAAACAGTTTTTCGCTGTAGCATTCGCAGCCCTAGAGAGGAAGGATTGTATTACAATCTGGGTGCAAAGGGCTATGTTCCCCTGGAAGAACACAGAGCCTCCTCCAACCTGTTTGATGCTTCCCGGTGTCCCAGTGACCTGGAGGACACAGGGCAATAGACTCAATTAAGTGGATGCTCCAGAAAAGCAAGGCGGGGTGGGCACAGCCTGTTGAGGGGAACACCCCAAAGCCGCCCAGCAGCTCTTTTAATCCACTGGCCACATGTCTGGTTCTGTTTTAGAGTCACTTTCAGGGCCAAGAGCAGGACAGACTTCAGAGCTGGGTACAGCAGGAGCAGTGGCAGCCAAAGGCAATCAGTTTCTCAGTGGCCATTCTGCTGCGTGTAGATTCTGCCTTTTCCAGAGCAGCACAGGATGGTGGGATGCTGGCTCTGTGTCCTTCCCATCTGTTTATGGATATCCCAAGCCACCCTTGGGATTTATGCATAGAAAACTCAAAAGGTAAATGAGACAAGGTGACCACACCTATAATCCCAGTGCTTGGAAGGCTGAGATAAGAAATAAGATCAGAAGTTCAAAGTCATTCTCAGGTACATAGCAAGCTCGAGGCCAGCCCGGAATCCATGAGATTCTATCAAAAATAGAAAGCATGGCTGGAGATGGGTGGACAAGAGGAGAAAGGAAGGGAGAAGCCAGATGGTGGTGGAGGCCTTTAATCCCAGCCTTTAGGAGGCAGAGGCAGAGGCAGGTGGATCTCTGAGTTCAAGGACAGCCTGCCTGCACAGTTTCAGGACGGCCAGGGCTACACAGAAAAACTCTGTCTCAAAACAAAACAAAGAAGAGAAAGAAAGAAAGAAAGAAAGAAAGAAAGAAAGAAAGAAAGAAAGAAAGAAAGAAAGAAAGAAAGAAAGAAAGAAAGAAAAAGGGATATCGGGAGCGGTGGGGAAGGAGGGAAGGAAGGAAGAAAAGAAACCCCAACTGTTTTAGTGTTGCCTTTCCATACCATCACTTAAGTGTGCATAGAAAAATGAGGCTCACTGTTTTCTGACAGTCCCACTTTCTCAAGAGGGGAAAAGTAAAAAGCCACAGTCATTTCAACTCAGCGTGTGCTCCAGGGGCTCCTCCACTTCCTGTTTCATTATTTCATTGACTCCACTTCTGGGAAGCCTTGTAAGGTAAACTTAGAAGAGATGAGAACAGTGATGAACAAGGGGTGATCTGCATTTCAGGCATAAATTTATACCCGTCACTTTCCACATACCCAGGAAGATTCCTTGCAGGCTTACCTTGGCCAAAAGAAGAGCCTGGGAGCATGTATGCAATTTAGTTCACAAAACCAAAATTTGATTTCTCTGCAGCTTTTCAGGAACTCATCAGTGACATAAATCAAGACTCTGGGTACAGACTCTCTTAAGAAGACTGTGTTAGACTCCTAAGCTGGAAAAGAAACACCCAGACAAAAAGTTTCCCAGAACCTAAGGCTGGAAACACATTTCCACAGACGGTTTTTATTATTATCTTCTTAATGATATACATGGGTGGATTTAAATCTCTTCCCTCTGCTTCCACAGCCAGACTCCATAACATCTCCCAAGCAGTCACTTGTATTTCTTTCTTTATTATTTCTGACAATTCTTAAAATATTTTTAGCTCAGAGTGACAAACCTTTCTGCCACTGTAGGAAGATGGAGCTGATGGGTGACAACTGTGTCCAGTCACCCCAAGACCAAGGCAAAAGGAGAGCAACCCCAAAACCAAGGCAAGAGGAGAGTGACCCCAAGACCAAGGCAAGGAGAGACTTGAGTGCTGAACTGGCTTTTGCATCTGATTCTAATTTCTCTCCTAGCTATACAGTGTTATCACCACACAATTCATTTTCTGACTGTAATCAGAAAAGGAGTGTGGATAGGGAATGCCAGGCACTATCCAACAGGTGTAAGGGGTGAGTGGGGTCATGTTTCAAACAACGACCCCAGACCCAGTCCTTAGCTACACTGCTGTTTCCAGTGTTCACTGTCTAAACCAATGACATGTGTCACGGGCTGATGAATATGACAGCCACAGGGAAGGACAAACTTTCAACGACTAACGTCCTCTTTCAAGTCTGAGCCGATGATCCCACGCCAGCATATTTGGCCAGTGTCAGAGGGTTTTTGGCTAAGTGGGCTCAATCAACTGTTTCCGTCCTATTCTAGTTCATAATCCCTATTCAGCCTAAAGTGCGCTGCAGCCTAATGAATGTGGTAATGGAATCCTTGTGTGTGTTTTTCCACAGCAGGGCGCAGATTAGCATAAGTGTCACATTCTGTGGGCCTGCCCGCTCATTTCTCAGGCGTTGCATATGCCGGGGATTTCTCAACTGGATAATAAGAGGAATATGGTCTACACATGCAGAGCAGGCACTGTGTTTTCTGCAGGCAGTGTGGAATAAATCTCACCTGGAGGTAAGCTATGATAGATTAGCTTTGTACCTTTGCTTTAAAATGCAATATTTCACCCCAAGGATCCTGTAATCCGAGAAGAGAAGGATTGGATTGAATTTCACGCAGAGTTTCAAAACACACTGTCAACTTTGACCATGGGGTTGAGGAATTCTTCACCATTCTCCCAGCTTTTCACACTCACGAGGAGTTCAAAGCTCTGCTTGCCAACCAAGATTAGAAAGAACGAAGGTTTTGTTCTCAGAGATGCAAACAGGAGAGGTGGGGGGGCTGGAGAAATTCCCCCTGCTTCCCCTCCACTTGGAGAATCCTCACATAGATGCAAAACGGTGGGGCAAACTTACAGGCAGATTCGCCCACAGCACTTCTTGCTATGGTCCTTAGGAAAGCATGTCTTGACTACATACTAAGGATACCATTTAGAAGGTTCCACAAAATATGGCAATTAAGCATGCGCAGCACTTTGCATTTCCAGAGAACTATTGTTGACTTTCAGATTCCAAATTTTACAATAGCCAAGCTCTTTGGAATTAAACCTGTGTCCATCCCCAGGTCTGACACATATGCAAGATGGAATAATAGCTCTAGTTCATACTTTGAATCTCCCACTTTCTGCTCTGTTAGAGAAATTATATCTAAGACTGAAATAATAGTTAGAAATAAAATGTTTGCCAAGCATATGTGACCACTGAGCTGGTCAGTACCTTTTGCACTCAGACATTTCTCACTAATCATCCTAACTGGATGCTGAAACTGCACTGTAACCTGCAATGGAGTGTCAGGACTTGGTTTGAACTGGTCTAAGCAAGCCAGCCTCTCTCCTGCGGTGTTGGGACAGGGGAGGGGCACACCATGGGTAAAGCCTTGCAAAAGAAACGTACACAGGCAGCTCCTTGCCTCCTCGTGAACCTGTCTTGATGAGTCGGCTCACAGATGCCACGGAGCTGGCTAATTGACAGCTCCTCTGCAGAAGAGGACGACCATGCTGGAATTTCCCCAAGGCTGGGCTGTGGCCCCCACCCTGTCTCCAGCTCCTTTTCATGTCATCGCCCATGCCCTCCTACATGATAGAGGGACCCTGGGTGGCAGATGCATCTAAACTCCGAGGAAAGGGGCTGTTAAGTCGACCTTGGTAACTTAACTGAAACAGTATATGTGTAAATCCATTGCAAATCCCTGGCCTTTTACAACTCCTGTCCCAATGGAAATCAGATCACAGGTCTGTTTACAAGAGACCACGATCATTTGGATAAAGACCCATGACAGCATGGCCCAAGGATTATTGAAATTTTAGTAACCTAAGCTTTGAAAATATTCTAAAAGCAAAATAACAAGGGAGAGGTAATTGCCATGAGCTAATTACTTATGATAGTTCATATATATAAGTGGTGAACAATCTCTGTAAATGTCAGCTCATGGCACTTTGGCAATCACTTGTAATTTTTATTGTTTAAAGAAATGTCAACATTTCCATTTCCCCCAACTTCACTTAACCTTGGCTCAGCACACAACTGCTCGGGCCACCAGATGAGAGCACTTGGCGCTGGTGTCTCAGAACGCTTCATCCTTTTGAGGATGAGCAAGTCTTGGTCTCAATTTAGTTACAATAGTGGTGCTTTTAAAATTAAAAAGCATAGAGCGTGCACAGAATCGTTTGAAGGTTAGAATGAAAGGCCGTCCCCGTGTTCAAGACTTGCTAAAGGAGTGGATTGCCATTCACATTTCAGTGAAGCCTTCGGTAGACGTGGGGGGAAACATGTGAGAGATTTAGAAATCTGTTTTGTTGGTTTGTTTCTTTTTCTCGTCCTCCTGGCCACTGACAAATAACGACTGTGAAGAAGCAAGCCCCACAGAAGACAGCGTAACTAACTGCAGAAGGAGGCCAAGAAGACTGCTAATAAACGCTCCAGCTGGGAGGTGAGGTCCCAGGAAGCCCACTCTAGCAGCAGAGCGTTTCCTTGGCTCCCTTTCCTCCTCGGGCTTGTCTGCACTTCAGTGACAGTCAAGTAATTCCCTTCCCTCCATCTCCCCTGGGTGCACACTCCCTGGAGAGTGTATCTAAGCAGGAAATGTTCCAGTATGGAAGACGCTAAGAAAGATAGGCACCCACAGGCGAGACCGGCAAGCCCCTGCTCTGCGCAGGCGCAGGAGCTGAGCAAGGCTAAGGGAGGTCAGGAAGACTAGGGCTGTGGAGAGGGAGACAAAGTGTGGAGAGGAGCCCAGGAGCCTGGAATGGCACCCCTGCACTAGAGCCTCGTTCTGCAAGGCCACATGCAGGGCAGCTAGGGTAGAGGGGTAATGAAGCAGACTGGAGAGGACCACCACAAGAGGGCTATCGAGGCAGAATGGGGATGTATCTAGGGAGGTAAGGATCAAGGTCCTCGGAGCCCATTCACCTACTGACCTACCCTGTATCCTTGAGCTTCCAATGAGGTGAATTGCCTCATCGATGTCTTCGTTCCCGTTTACGAGTATTAAACCCTATAATCAAAATAACCCTCATCCTTAAACTCAACAGCATGTTTTGTATGGGGCTTCAAAGGGGGGAAACGTGAGCTTATAGAAGAAAGAAAGAGAAGAAGATGCAGGAAAGGCTGTCAGTAGATTGATGGGGAGTGGGGGAGAGAAACTTTGTACCAGCAAATTCTTACCTGCTGGCACTTCGACAGGGAAAATGTAAAAAGACAGCCTGAAAAAAAAAAAAAAAAAAAAAAAAAAAAAAAAAAAAACCAAAAAACCCAAAAGCATCAACATTTGCCTGATGGAATCAGACCAAAGCCAGAAATACATTGAAGAGCCAAGTGGTATTACATTGAAATATGTGGACTGTAAGATTAATTCAGGACCATGTTCAAGCTACTCTTTAGCATTGTGAATATAAAGTAATATTCCATAAAAACTTTACACTTTTTTTTAATGGAGTTTAGCTTCTGAAGGGTATTATGTCATACCTAATCCCTTTTGGTTTCAGTCTGGAAGCCTGACTGGGGTGGTGAGGGAATGAAGAAAGGACAGACACACAGACATGTATACAGAAGAGCTGGGTCAGGTGGGCTTTGTGCCCTCTGATGGGGTGGCACCAACTACTGTACAACCTGGAACCTTTGCACATTGATTATGAACAGCACAGACAGGGGACGGGGTGGGAGTTAGTCTTGGTAGTAGGTCTTTGTGGGTGCACAGGCTCAGGCTGTAGTCCTCTAGGAAGGGAAAGTGGCCGTTGCCAGTTTTTGCACACACAGCCAACATTCACACTCAGACCAGACAAAGGTTTTGCCAATTCTGAGCCAGACCCATCTGCAGAAGGATTTGCCACCCATGGGCTGAGGTCTTGGTTCTTGACAAGGCTGGCTCATGTCCAATGATAAACATTCATTCAATCAGGACTTCACTCACTCCCTACAATTTTATTCTCTGGAATGTTGATGATAAATCCTTTAACATCTCAATATCTTTACAAAATTGGATTCCTTTCCCCTTTAAGAGATCTGTATTGAGTCTAGCTCAGATGAGGCCAATTTTACTCAGGTGTGTAAGGCCCAGAGCTCAGGGAAAACCACCTAATGCCCTGATCTGGAACAAACACAGGGGAAACCCTCAGTAGAACATTAAGTCCATGAATGATCTTCTTCCACAGTTTCTGATGATAGAATGATGTAGAAAACAAAAAACTGCTATTTTGATAAAAGGACATAGGGATAAATGACTTCTACCAAGATTCTGCTATACCCATAGATCAGTGCCTTGCTCAGTCATCATCAGAGAAGCCTCCTCCTGCAATAGAGGAGAACAAATAGACGCGCAGCTGGACAATGTGCAGAGAGTGAGACACATTTAAGCAGTCCTAAACAGGGTGTCTCCATCACATTCCTCTCCTCAGGACTCAGGGAACTCTGCAGAGGAGGAGGTGGAGTGATTGTCATAGCCAATGGGGATGGAAGACACCAAGGAAACAAAACTTTCTAGACACACATGGACTCACAGAGACTGGGGCAGCATGTGCAGGGCCAGCACAGGCTAGACCAGCTCCCCGGGGTCCCGGAGAGGAGAAGCAGACACAGCCCCCACCCCAGCTCAGAAGCTATTTCCAGTTGATAACCTCTTGCAAACGAAAACTTATTTTTTTCCCAATAGAGTCTCATTGAATGCACTTAAGGGTAGACCCCATGCCCAGCTGCAGATGGCCAGCACAAAATGAACTAAACGGAGGTGTTTCTTTTTTGTTGTTGTTGTTTTTGTTTTGTTTTGTTTTTGTTTTGTCTTCAGTGCTTTTTCAGGCAATTTTTTTTAATCTTACAGATAATTTGTTTTTATATTATGGTGAGTCCAGTTTTGTTTTTATGGGTTTTCTGTGTGTGCAAATATGCATGTCTCAGTATCTGTGTGTATTTCTTGTGCATTTTTTGGCTCTTTTTCTTCTTTTTTTTAAATTTTATTATATTTTAGATGCCTGTATTCTAATGAGAGAGAGAAAGGAAAGGGTGTGGATTTGGGTGGCTTGGAAAGTGGGGAGGAGCTGGGAAGGGCTGGGGGAGGGGTTTGGCGGAGCTGGGGGAGGGAAAACCAAAATCAGAAAATACTGTACAAAAAAAAAATCCATTTTCAAATTTAAAAAAAAAGCTTCAAAAATTAACAGTAAAGACAAAGAAGACAAAACAAATAACAAGGCTGATTAGAATATAGGCAAGAAGGAACTCTTATATACTGCTGGTGGGAATATGATACTTGAAGAGACTTCAGCTACAATAGAAATCAGTACAGAGGTTCCTCAAAAGGCTGAAAACAGATCTACCATATGGGCCAGCTATAAAACTCCTGGACACTTACCCAAAGGACTCCAAATCAATACATAACAGACATACTCGCACCTAAGTGTTTTCTGTAGCAGCGTGCATAATAGCTAAATTGTGGAGCCACCCTGAGTCTCCAACAACAGAGAACTGGATAAACAAGGTCACATATATACAAACATACACACACACACACACATACACACACACACACACACACACACACACACACACTCTGACATTTTATTTGTGGAAAAATGTATGTAACTGCAGAAAATCTTATTAGGCAAATTAAGACAATTGCAGAAAGACAGATATCGTATGTTTTCCCTCGCTTGTAATTTTCATATTTTTTATAGATATAAAAATATGTATGTATTTATGACACAAAGGGGGAAGTGAAACTGTCTCAGGGACTAAGAGGAGGAGGACAGTGTGGCGGGGATGTGCTCAATGTGCAATGTGTACTTGTACATGTATTTATGTAACAAAACACCATGTGCAATGAATATATATGATGAAAATGTTTTTTTTAAGGCCAAAAAAAATGACATGCTAATGAGGGAACAGAAAAAGGGAACTGTCCTGGGCTAGAGCACTTGTTCTCTCCAAGCACCAGGTTTGATTCCCAGCACCCACAGGGAGCCTCACCACTTCCTCAGGCACCAAGCATGCATCTGATGCACAGACATGCAGGCAGGCAAAGCACTCATAGGAGTCAAATAAATCAAAAGAAAAAACAAAGAAAAAGAAAAGGGGAACTCTCATACGCTGCTGGCAGGAATGTAAGTCAACACACCCATTCTGTAAAATAGAGTGAAGGTTTCTCACAAAAGAAAAAATAGAAACACAAAATGACTCAGCAGTAAGTACCACTGCTAGGTGGTGTGTATTTTAAGAAATGAAAATTAATATATTGAAAAACATCTGCACACCTATTTGTAGCACTGTTCACAAAGCTAAGATATGGGGTCAACCTAGGTTTCCAATGACAGATGAATGGAGTATGTGTTCATAAACAGAATGGAATATTTTCACCCATGTAAGAAAATCCTGTCATTTTCAGCAATGTGGCTGAGTCAGGGAACGTGTTACGTCACATAGGCCAACTGCAGAGAAACAGATACTGTGTGTCCTCACTCATACGGGAGGCAAATAAACTGATCTAGACAGAGAGAGCTTTGGCATAGTAGGAACTGAGAGGGGAGAGAAGGAATGGGTAATGGGCACAAAACTACGGCTAAATAGGAAGAAAGGGTTCCAGAATTCTACAGCAGGGTAGATCGGCTATTAGTCTTTATTTTTATTGTATTTTAAAACAGTGACTATAAAGGATTTCGAGCGTTCCCCTCTCAAGAAAAGACAAATATTTGAGATGATGTATATGCCGATGATGTAGAGAACAGGGAAGTCTCATACATTGTTGGTAGGGTTGTAAGTTAGCACACCCATTCTGGAAAATAGAGCAGAGATTCCTAAAAAAAAAAAAAAAAAGAACAAGAACTACCAAATGATCCAGCATTTGATTTAGTCATTACACATATATACAAGTACTATCAAAATACCATACTATATCTCATAAATAAGTACAATTAATATATATTAACTTTCAAAACAATATTTGCTGTCTGAGTATGGAAACAGTAGGTAGAATGTTGGTTTCAGAGGACAAGAAGCTGGTCCAGCACAGAGGTCAGGTGGAGGATGATGAGTTTACCTTCCAAGGATGAGCAGGGCACGGAGGACAGGAAGCACCACACAGGCAATACCACCTCCTCACCACCTCGGGTCAGGTTGAAGTAGATTAGAATTTCTAATTTATTTATTTTTATTTTATGTGCATTGGTGTTTTGCCATGGGTGTCCAATCCCCCAGAACTGGACTTGTGAGCTGCCATGTGGGTGCTGGGAATTGAACCCGGGGCCTCTAGAAGAGCAGTCAGTGCTCTTAACCACTGAGCCATCTCTCCAGCCCAGAAAGTCACTTCTTAATCCTAACTTTCCTACTCACTCCGCTGGGTGCTGCACGTAGCAGGTCTCTGGTGGAAAGGGTACCACCCATGACTTTCTGCTGGTAACTGAATACCTCAGATTTGGATGTCCCATGTCCTACTTTCTGTGTTCTGGAGCGGGGCCATAAGCAGTCCCTTCAGCTCCAGGGGAAACTCCCTTTGAAGTCTGAAGAGCCTTCATTAGTCTTCATCAAAACACAAAGGAGGCCTCAAGGAAAAGCACCCTGCTTGCTAACACCGATGGTGACCTCTGCCTATTGCAGGAAAAACCGTAAGACATGAGCTACTAAGAACTAACTAACTAACTAACTAGCTAACTAACTGAACGGAGGACAAAGTAGGACCCGTCAGTTTTCCCCACTTCTCCTGTGTCTGGGACGCACACCGGATGGAAGTGTGGAGGAAGGAAGAAGGGTTAGTTTGGTTCACAGCTCCAGAGGGAAGGGGAGGCGTGGCCAAGGCCGTGGAGATCAGAGCCTGCATAGGCCAACGCTAACCCTGACTCTAACCCTGACCTTCTTCTTGAACCAGGAAGCTGAGGTGCTGACTGGAGCCAGGGCAGATAGAAATTTCGAAGACCCCATTGGCTTGCTTTTCTCCGGCAGCTCTTACTTACCTCTAATACACTTCTACAGCAGTGGTTCTCAACCTTCCTCATGCTGTGGTGACCCCCAACCATAAAATTATTTCTGTTGCTACTTTGGCTACTGTTATGCTACAATATTATCATAATGCAAACATTTTTTGGAGCTAGAGGGTTGCTAAAGGGGTCGCGACCCACAGGTTGAGAAAGCACCGTCCTGCGGCCTTCAAAACTGTGCTGCAAGCTTGGAGACAAGTGCTAAATACAAACCTGTGGGGCATTTCATATCCAGGCCATAACGCTCTCCCGTGAAGCAGCAGGAGCTCCTGCTTCACTCACTGTGGCCCCCCTCTCCACAGCAGCTGACTGGAGCTGGAGCTGTGAAAGATACATTCTTTGCTTTACGAACACACTCACCTAGACTTGTCCCTAACACACACACACCCTTTTACCCAGTCTCATGAAAGACTCCTTTTGTTTCCTTTGCATGACACTGTCAGGTTATTGACAAAAAAATAACGTTTGCTTCGAGAACGTCTTGGTTTATGTTCCATTTAAAACGAGATACCCCAGTTTGGCGGCTGGCCCGATCCACCAAATGGTTGCCGCTTCTTGGCTGGACTCCTCCCAGGGGAGGAAACTGCTGTCAGGGGAAGGGAAGGGCACCGTGAGTCACTCTCTGAATGGCTTCCCTTTGAAGCCAGCTCTGTCACCCCCAAGATGTACCTTCCAGTCTGAAAGAACAGCAACCTAACTGTGGAGCACACTAAGCGACAGCCTGGCCCTCCCTGCTCAGCACACTTGATTGCACTTAGTTATTCAGGCTTAATTGTGTTGGGGGGTACAATTTGGAAGGAAAAATATAAAGGACAAGGCATGCCCATTGCCATCTGTTTTAGCAAGAAATTCTTTCAGCCTGATGCAATCAATTACGACAACTTGGGTTGTACTTCTTTTAAATCGTGGGCACCAGTAAGAACTCTGACCATAATTTTCAACCTCGTCTGACTTTCTCTTTACACACATACAAGGAAGCCTTATCATAACTAATATGAAGGGCCCCAGCTAGGTGCCAGACAGGGCTCGCCATCACACTTCCTCTACAAAGCCTGTCAGAGCCACAGCGACACCACCAGCTCAGAATCCTCCAGATTCTTCCCTACAGTCTCTCTCCCCATCACAGGCTTCTTGAAGACACGCTTTGAATCCTGTGGGCTCAGGCCATGCAACTCTCCTGTTGAACCAATCCTTTCATGAGATCATCTTAACAGGAACCAATGAGGTGACTCCATCCCCACAGTTCAAGACATATCTCACGAAACAGCTTATCCCTGCTGAGTAGAATGAGTACCCCCAAGAACTTGAGGTGAAATCCCCCCCCCACTTTTCTGTTCTCCATCATGTACCAAAATTACCATGAAGAACGCTCTAAGAATCCATTCCCTTGGAAGTCCATTCTCAGGACTTGACCCTCTTTCTTTTCACTTCCTTCTTTAAGTTAGTCTGAGTACCTTGACTTTTTTCATTGTAATTATTCTCTAGTCATTCCACAGCATTAAGTAAGATGACCTATATTAAAATGCTGTGTAATCTGTATTTTCTAGCAGCATATGACTTTTGCCTACTCAAGGTGCATGCCTTCTGATTCCTGTTTCTCCGTGAGTCAGGTTACAGTAAACAGGTCCATATTAACTGATTGTATCACCGATTGCAGAGCCAAGCCTACTGATGGCCCAAGGACCTGGGTAGCTCACCTGGAGGCAGCGGCAATGAGGTTAGAATGTAATTTCTGCAGTTAGTCAGCCTGAATAAAAATTCTGGCCAGGAAGTGGTGGCACACGCCTTTAAGCTCAGCACTCAGGAGGCAGAGGCAGGTGGATCTCTGTGAGTTCAGTGCCAGCCTCATCTACCAGGGGAGTTCAGGATAGCCAGAGAGCTGTTACACAGAGAAACCCTGGCTTAGAAAAAAAATTTCTGGACCTTCCTTCTCCTACTTGTGAATTCAGGCCAATTATTTAACATTGCTAAGCCTCAGTTTTCTGATTTATAAATTAGAAAAGCATATCTACTTCATGGGACATTATAAAGATTTAGTGAAAAAGCAACTGTCAACATAGGAAATTTTTGAGGCACAGATGAACTAACCTGTGTTATCACAGGGTCCCAATATTGAGAGGAGAAAGTGAGTGTGAGGTCCCACCTTTACCCAAGAAGCTATTTGCAGTTGATGCCAGCTAGGAAAGGAAAAAATCAGTGTTCTCCAGTGGAATATTACTAAGGATATCAACCATACTCCAGAGAGGCCCCATGCTCAGGAGTAGATGGTCAACACAAAACGCACTCCATGCTATTTGTTTTTTGGCTTTTTTTTTTTTTTTTGGTCTCATTGGGTTTTGGTTTTGATTTTCATGTTCATGATTTTTGCATTTTTTTAAGTGAGCCTAAGTTAGGTGGGTAGGGAGGTGGGGAGAATCTGGGAGGAGTTGGGGGAGGTGAGAAACATAATTAAATTTATGAATATAATTTAATAAAACAACAACATTTAAAAAATAATAGCAGGTGTAATCAATAGAAGACCTGGTACACCATGGTGGGCACTCAAGTGAAATCATGATTCCTACTGTTATCAGAAACAAACATCACAGTTGTCAGCTTGCCCTCATGCTCATTCTTGGTATTTTCATCTCACCAGCCACTGCACCCAGAAAGCAAAGGCCATTCCATATGAGTGTGTACCTCTGAAAAGAGTGGGGAGCAAACTTCTCTGCAAGCACTGTGGAGGTAAGCCTCACTACTACCTACTCTTTCAATCACGTGTCAAGACTCTGTCCTGACCCCGGCAGATGATCCATGGGTAGATGGATCATGTGTTTTAAATCACAAAAAAGGCCAGAATGCTGTGTGTTAAAATGTTAACAGTGGGTATCCCGAGAGATGGTATTAAGGGAAAGCCTAATTAGGTTCTACACCTCAAGCAACAGACCCCTTCCCAGCTTAACTTAAGCAGAAAAAGGAATGTGCTGAGTAGATCCCAGAGGATGTGCCTGGAGAATAAAGTGGGAGATGGGCAGCTACAAGGCACACTGCTATGTAGGCAAGACCATAGCCAAAATCACACCACAGGACCCAAAGGGAGAAACCCTGCTACCCCTGCAGCCTGACACTGCTCTCTGTGGCTGGCCAGGGCATTGCCAGCCCTAGGCAGACATTGCATGCCTTTGGTTATGGGCATTGGAGAATGAAGGTGTCTGGTCCCACCACCAAGATGAAGTCCTTACTGTCGGCTTCTTGGATCACTCAGTGCATGTTCAAACACCTGACCAGTGTGGAATGCCTGCTGGCAACGACTGCACACCACACCCTCCCTCGATTCCTGGAAACTCTCACACTGTGGGGAACACCCTCAAGTGTGGGAGCTTCAAAAACTGAACAGACCAAAAAATGACAAGTGTTTCCACAACTGAAGTAAATTTTTTAGCCTCTTGTATGGTCTTTTATCTATAAATTGTATATATACATACATGAACATACACATGTTATTCTGTGATCACATAAAATAACAGACGTCTATTGTTTTAAATTACAATCTATTTTAAGGTATTTTTAAGCTCATAATCATCATTCAAAACCCACCGAGTCTGTAAAGAGTAAAACAGAAACAGGCAGAGAAGCTGCTGAGCCCAGGGAGCACGGGACATATGTATATTTGGATTTTAAGATGTAGCGAGAAAGAAATGATCAAGAGACAAATTGGAAAGCTATGTTTGACACCTTTTTCCTTCCCCTGAGCTGAGAGCAGGGGGTATCTAATTGCTCCTGCTTCCTCCAATAGTAATCTCATAAATAGCACAAAGGCCTAGTGTGGCTCTCCTCCCTCGGTATCAGATAACTGTCTCCACTGTGTGTGCAGCCCATGCATTCATTTTAGTGCCAGGCTGGCTTTTTATGTCTTTGAAAGGAGCCTTGGACAAATCCACTTTGAGCTTTGCAGTGAGCTTGGCTTTGCAGCCAAAATAAATGAGCGAAGTCTAGAACTTTGTTTTCAGAGTTTGTCAAGTTCTTTCCAGCGAAATATTTCCTCCCGTTCCAGATGTTGTGGTTTTCATGACTTCAGCTCCTAGTGGCCTACCATGTGAAAATGCCTCATTTGGGAGATTTCATGGGGATGCAGAGGGGCGGGCACAGCTCATCTGCACGCAGATGGCCTCAAGGGGTGATTTCGATAAGGGCTGCTTTGACTCTTTAAGATGAATCATTAAGTAGAACACATTAACTTTTCTTTCTTTTTTTTTCTCCCCTTTTGATAATGGCACTTATGTAAATTCGATTTATTTTATGTTCTGCATGGACAGAGTGAGGTGAAAAGTAGGAAATTATTGTTTCAATCAAAATATTCAGATTATTGGGAAAATGTTCATTTGAAACTTCAGCTATCTGGGGAGTTGTTTTAATTTTCTGTTTCTCTGTGTTAGTCAAACAGTCAAAATCATAAACACAGACATGAGACTACAATCAGGCCAGCCACCCAGAGTGACACACCTAAGCCCTGGGAGATGGGTAGAGAATGAACGCACAAGTTTACTAATACAACCAGATACAACCGCTGTATTCCTATGTCAATATTGTCAGCTGACGAGTTTGCAAGATCACTGTTTCCACTGCACGCCCTTGAAAGAGTCAGAGGTCCTGGAACACACACAAATTTAACTTGAGAAGAAGGAATTCACTGAAAGAGGATTGTTGAATTGGTTCAAGGAGCACTTTTTTTTTCAAAGTCTGACTTTTTGTAGTTTAATATTTCATAGCTTTTAAATGTAATTTACAGTGCATGTATTTTATAAGTGCATATTTATGGCCTGGAAAGACTCAGTGATGGAAGACTGTTGCTACCGAGCCTGATGACCTGAGTTCAATCCTAGTGACGTGCATGGTGGAAGGAGAGAACTGACTCCAGCAAGTTGCCCCCTGACACACACACACTCACAAACTAGCAATAAAGTAAACCATTCACAGTGTGCATCTGTGTACATGTCTGCTTTGACCCTGAAGATCTCATAATGAATGGTCCCCGTGTGTGTGACGGGGGTGAACTCCTCTCTGCCCATTCTCATCATCACACTGAAAAGGCAGTGTTCTTCCAGGAGTTTCTGGCAGATCACCTGCAGGCCTTTTAGGAGGTGTTGTCCCTGCTCATTCTGATATCTTAATAAATACAGAAATAAGTGCTCCCCACCAAAGCGTCTACTGAGAGCATTTAACGTGGTATAAAACAAGTCCATTTTCACAGACTTTAAATGGCCTGCTCAGTCCGGACCCTTTCCCTAACCGATGCACCCGACTTCTCTTTCTCACCAGGCTTTAGTCTCAGGACTCATTCTCTTCATTTCTAGATGACTCAGTTTCCCTTCTGTCCTTGGAAGAGTGTGGACAGGAACAGATAGACAGCTGAGAAACATTTGAGCTAACTCATGGAAGGATTCTCAAGTGCTTAGAAGATGAACAGACACTGGGTAGGGATGTGCTGTATAGTAGTGCTGGGCACTCTGAATTAAATGGGAGAGGTCTGGGTCTTCAGGAAAAAATCGACTAGCCCAGGGAAGCAGAAGGAGCCTCGCTTCATTTACATCTGTCCTCTGCCCTCAACACATTTCCGTAAATGCCAGTCAACACCCAATTATCCACATGAGGATTACCCATGTCAGAATTGTCTCCTACTAATTTTTAATCCCCAAATGAATTTCTCCTGTTGCCCAGGGTGTCCTTTCCTGCCAGCCATGAGTATCTGTTTAGAAAGTCAAGCTAATATTGACAATAATATGCATAGGTTCTAATTAAAGGAGTCTGTTGCCAAAGGAGGGAAAAGAAAAAGGAACACATGATACCTCCCGAGGCCAAACAGCAGTGATTTGGGGATTATCTGCTGCCGGGGACTCGGCACCGCCACTCCTTGCCACCGGCACGTACGACCGAGAACTGGCTGCCTAACATGTTTTTCAATAACTGCTTCAGGAGCGACGCTGTTGATCAGCAAAGGACTGTTGTCCTAGCACATGTCTAACTTGGTAATTATGGTGTTTTCTTACAACACGCTCTACAGCTGCTATTCTATGGTTCATTTGCCTCTAAAACTTAGGAAATAATTGCTTTCGGTGAGGAGTTTATGAGGGAAAAAAAACTAACAATTCCAGTCCAAGCTATTAGACACTGTATGTTTCCAGACAAAAATCAAATCATGACCCAAAGGGGAATTTAGATCTTCTGAAACTGTACCCAGCTACCTTTTTATGAACACATTACTTAACTAATGGAACCAGAACCTTCAATGCCAAATTACCTCAACCACCAACAAAGCAACATTCTGGTGAAAACTCAGAAATTGTCAGCATCGTGTCAGCTGAGAAGCTTCTGATTTGCATCCTTAAATTTTCTGGGTGCTAGAAAAATGAACTGTGCTGCTAACAGAGGGAACCTTGGGTGCTGACACATGAGAAGCCCAGTTGATCCACCAGCGAAGACAGTATGCACCATGCAGAAATGCCAGGCCTTCCCAACTAAACAAGAGAGGTTTGGGGCCTCGTGAAAAGACCAAACAGCCAAGGGCAACCAGAAGGTGCCAGACTTATTTTATATCTCTTGTGCAATCTTTAGAACCCACGCAAGGTTCATATTCTGTTCTGTAGTGCTTATCTTAACTTAAAATTGCTTTTTGCCTCTTAAAATCTTGAGTTAAATGGATGCCCTGAGGTGATGAGCAGCATCCATACCACAGTTCTCTATACCACCTGGTGCCCAACCTCATATACCACCTAAGGGTCTGAGGACAAGCAGTCATAAAGCAGAGCTCTTAAAACACCCTCTTCCAATGATGTAGCTTCAGGTATCAATTGGGGAGGCTGGGGAGACATCACCAGTCCTCAAGATGCACATAGGCACAATGCCAGTATCATGATTTCCTGGCTTTAGCTGTTGCCCCTTTTCCTAAAGACTGCCTGGGGAACGTGGGAGTCCTGCATGCAGCTGCACCTGGTCTAAAGTTTATGCACGAACCTTGAGCTCTTCTTGTCTTTTCCCAGCCCACATTCTCCTTTTTCTTCATCTAGCTGACAACCAGCTCCGATGATCACGAAGCTGAATTGAGGTTTCCACACCCAAATTATGGCCAGGGAACTTTCCTATTATAGCCATAGGATTCCTTCCATTTCCCCAAATCCTACCTACAGAAGTAGTTTTAAAAATTTAAAGACTTTAAGGTCACCTCATAAACATTTTTGAATTTTTTACACACTTTGTTTGGCATGAAGACTATTGAAGCCCTTTTTTTTCTAATCACATCCTTAAAAAAATAAAATAAAATGACTAGACTGATGACCCAAATTGGCATCTCCAGACAGATGTCTCCTAGAGACAGGCCCAGCCCGAGTTCCACTCCTCAGCAGAATCACTGTTGCAGATGATGGCTGTGTCTCCTTTACATCGAAAACCTAGGAGACCTGCTTCTTCTGCTGCATCAGCAAGGGCTGCTGACTAAAAGCTCTATCTAGACTCTTTCTACCCAGCAGAAGGGACACAGGATTCTGTGACACAACCAACCTATACACAGTAGATACACAATGAATACTGATGAACAGAATGAACACATACATTTTTGTGCATATGTATACATACTTACCAAGGACGATGATAAGATGTGAAGATGTAGGAGTTAAAGCTGCTTTAAAAGCTTAACTGGCCAGATGATGTTGGCACCAGCTTTTAATCCCAGCACTCGGAAGGCAGAGGCAGGCAGATCTCTGAGTTTGAGGCCAGCCTGGTCTACAAAGTGAGTTCCAGGACAGCCAGGGCTACCCAGAGAAATCCTGTTAAAAACAAACAGCAACAAAAAAAAGCTTTAACTAGCAACTAATCTGCCAACTTAATTGAACACTTACTACTCTCCATGGAGTACCTCTTATGCTTTTAGGACCTACAGTGGCCCCAGAAAACAGAAGCTGGGTAAAATGTGACTTCTAGCTGTGGACAGAAAACTATGCATTTGAAGCAAATATGATCTGTATAACCCGTGATACCACAAAGGGCTAAGTCTAAGCACAAGTTCTGAACTTCAGAAACGGAGCTGGGAAGTACAGTGCTTCGTGGTTCTTGTAAAAAATTGAATGGAAATAAGACAAGACCAACAAGGAGGGGAGAACAGTGTTCCCAAAGAGAAACTGTGGGGACAGTAGAGCTCAAAATGCAGACGGAAACATGGGTGTGGCCATGGCGTGTGGGAGGGGCTGGCACTACCAAAGGGACCAGCTTAACAAGTCCTCTCCTGCTCTCGGTCACCTTCACCGTATCCCAAGATGAACCGACCAGCCGGCTTTGAGGACATTTGCAAAAATATCCATAACAAGTAGATATATAATAATTGGGTTTTTTTAAGGTATAAAAATCTAAAATGTACCTGGAAAGAGGAATCATTAACTGCGGACACTCCAATTCCTTGGCTGACAGCAGGAATTATTTTGACACTTTAAAGTGTACAATACATCAGCTTGAAAAATCATGCAGCAGTGGGTCAAAGGATTCCATGCTTACTCGAATATTAAGCACCAAGAAGTAGTTTTTCTCTCAAAATTAAGTCAATAAAATTTCAAACACAAAAAATAAGGCAGAGAGAATGAATGCTGATTCACCATCAAATCAAGTAGAACCACCCAGACAGACTGTGGCGTTCTTGGTATGCATACAACCACAGCCGTCTGTTCTTCCTTGGAAGTGTACAACACGAAGACTAGCTGAATGAATGGCTTCCTTCTTGGATGCTGTGTGCCCAGCTGCGTGTCCCTTCTTGCATGCATTTTTCCATGTCCCATTTACCTGAACTATAACTGGATATTAGAAGCAATTACTCTTCCAAAATTTTTTTTTTGGTCTTGAAACATTGTGTGTCTTTCCCAGCCACTTCCCCTTTCAGTCAGTTATCCGGACTTCCACTCAATTATTTAATCTTTGAACAAAACCCCCAACCAGAACCCCAATTGGGTGGCTCTTTGACACACAGACAGCTGAGCTGAACTAGTCCCAGTATCTGAGTTTGGAGACAGACTTCAGTGGCTTAGACAATGGAGAAGTTTTGCTCTCATGTTCCAGCATGAGCATCCCAGGGCTGATTGTCATCAGCATAGGGTACCAGAGTACCCTCTGATGGAGCACTGTCATCCTTTCTTTCACTGGGACTTGGAGGCCGAGTCCTGGGTAACATGATGGGATGAGGGGAGTAGAAGATGGTGGTGTATGTTTAAGGACTATTTTGAAGTATAAGCTTTAGGCTGTTTTCATCTATCTACCCACCTTACAGTCAATAGAGATGTAGGGGAAGAAGCTAAGCTATGCCCCTTCTCCCCTGATATGATTGAGAAGTGATTCATATCAAATCTGCTCATATCTAATTTGTCAGGGTGTCTCATCTAGCTGCAAGAGACTCTGGAAAATATGGGGCTTAGCTAGATAGTCTTATATTTCTTATACTTCTAACCACCATAAATGGAAATATAAAAGAGAATAACTTTCACAGAAGCCATGGAGAGAGTCATAAGATAAAATAAAATGAAGAAAATCAATAAGCCAACATTTTAAAATAGTATTAAAAATATGAGCAATATGTTCAATATATCACGGTCTTTTTTCTGAAGTAAACATGAGGCTGACATTCAGGGAGCTCTAGAGTCTTGAAAGAGGTCTTCTGGCTCACATGGCTGAGGGTAAAGAGACCAACTAGTGGAGAGAGACTTCCTATGAAGGGCATGGCTGATGGGTTTAGGGAATCTGAGATCTAGATTACTTATTCTATTACTTAGCTTATTCATGAGTCTGGTATCTAAGTGCTTTATTCTTTGGTTTTTAATTCCTTTGCATCATTTTTTCAGCTTGTCATTCACATTTAGGAAATGAAGGGTTGGGAAATATAATATTGGTTAAGTGAAAGGGGCAAATAATTATTACTGGGGCAGATAAGAACAGGGACAAGCCTAAGGTGTTGGCTCAGAAGAAGTGACCGCAGCAAGGGCCAGAAGAATGGAATGCTCTTTGGAATTTTAGGAGAGACTTATTTCAAATTATGTAGGATGGAAGACCAGGTTTATTACTTGTTAAAAATGGACAGAGTGGCTTGAGAGATGGCTCTGTGGCTGTCTTAGTTAGAGTTTCTATTGCTGTGAAGAAACACCTTGACCAAAAGACAAGTTGGGGAGGAAAGGGCTCACACTTCAGCATCACTCTTCATCACTGAATGAAGTCAGGACAGGAACTTAAACACACAGGATCTCAGAGGCAGGAGCTGATGCAGAAGCCATGGAGGGGAGCTGCTTACTGGCTTGCTTCCGCCTGGCTTGCTCAGCCGACCTTCTAATAGAACCCAGGACCAGCAGCCCAAGGATGGCACCACCCACCATGGCTTGGTCCCTCCCCCATTGATCACTAAATGAGAAAATGGCTTACAGCTGGATCTCAAAGAGTCATTTCTTCATCTGAGGCTCCTTCCTCTGATGACTCCAGCTTGTGTCAAGTTGACACACAAAACCACCCAACACAGTGGCTTAGAGTATGTACGCACGCAGAGTTTGGCTCTTAGCACCCCAATTGGGTGGCTCATGATTGCTTGTATTTCCAACTGCAAGGGATCAATCAGACACCCTGTTTTGGCCTCTGAAAGAACCTATACTCATGTGTACACAAGCACACATACATATGCATAATTAGTTTGATAGAATATCAAGGAACAGTCGTACTCCACAAAATAAAGGGAGAAAATGCATCTGTGTGCTTATAAAAATTTGCATACTCAGCATGCCTGGAAAGCAGAGCTGGGGGCTTTCTCTTTTCCTCAGCACCCTGTACTCTAAAGGTTTTGTGCTTTATTAGGAGCTGCAGCTGACCTAAAGCCACTGAAGTTCCTTCTCTGTGGGATTTCTTCCATGTGTACCAGGTGCCAAGATGTTCCTCGCGGTCCTCCTTCAGAAGGAGACGTTACCTCCAGCAATGAGTGATTGCTGCCTCACTGGGACACTGTCTTTCTCTCAGCCAGGAACCATTGTATGGTTGGCACAGAAGTGCAAAAACATCAGGCCCGGCTGTAGAGTTGATCATGGGACCAGAGTTAAAGCAGGTCCCTAGCAGATTCCCTGTCCTTGCTGATCTTGATGCCTCCAGCTGCCCAGCTTTTCTCTCATCCTCTGGGCACTTGTCCACTAGAATCACACACCCAAGAATCCTACCTCAAGTTCTGCTTCTGGCAACCCCTGTTACACAGCATGGGAGGAACAGATTCTGGGTAGGTTCTGAAGGGGACAAGAGAGGGGGGAGGGATGTGGGAAAGTCAGATAGAAGTAGCTATAGTTTGTGAGCAGGGCTCTTCCGCAGAGGACCTGTGATGTCAGCAGCAACAGAAGCATCATGTCAGCAAAGCTGTGTCCTCCCTGACCCAGCCTCCACGGGACACACCCTGCCTCCTGCCTGGCTGTGCTGTGCGCTTAGCTTCCAGCAGAACCAGAGTTTTTCTTTTGAGGACTATTCCTGCTTCAACTTGTCTGTCCTTTCACAGTCAGAGGAGGTCTCCTGGAGATCCATTTGTTAATCCCCTGGATTAGGCTCACATAAAGAGTGAAAGCACCATTGGGGGAGACTTCCTACAGCTGCCTGCATTGCAAACAAGATTTGCCTGCAGCTAATGGGCATGCCCAGCTCTGACCAAGTGGAGTTAGGGAAACAAGAGAGGAGAGAAGAGGAAGGGAGTCTCAGAGAGCGTGGAGAGAGGTGAGACGCAGGGGGAGGCTATGTCTCCCTTCTCCTGACAGTGTCAGGATTGCCTGCTCTGTACTGCAGATGGCGTGGTTTAGTCTTGGTCTTTCAGCACCTTTGATGATAATACTTTTAGCAGAAGGGGTTGGAGAAACAGCGGGGGGGGGGGGGGGGTTCTTGGAAACAGAAGCATGGGAGTGACTGTGTGCGTGCGCACATGGACACGTAATGGAACGCCTTACTCTGTTTAACTGCAAACGGTGTTTTAATTTTAAAACGACATAGGGAGAAAAAGCTCTAACTCAAGTTAACACTCTGTCAAACTCCTTTTTGCTTTAAATTCAGGCATTGCTTCTCGAGCTTTTGGGGAGGGACTGGGGGTGTGAGTGTCGGTGCGAACATGCCAAGTGGAGGTTCTGTGTGAAGCTCCCCCACTTTCTGCAGGAAGGGGCTAGGCCTGGAGTGTCACTGATTTGCAGAACCTGCTGGGATTAAATGAATCTTCCTTCCTTCCTTCCTTCCTTCCTTCCTTCCTTCCTTCCTTCCTTCCTTCCTTCCCTTTTTCTTTTCTTTTTTTTTTTTTTAACAAATTCAGACCAGGTAAACTATTTTTGTGGTTGATACAGGTTCAGTGACTTAACAGGCATTCATTGAGAGCATCCTCAGGAGCAAGTGTCCACTTCTCATCTTCCAAAAGCACAGGCAAGAGATTGCACTGGGACCTTCTCAGGCCTCCACGGCACTGTCAAATCTGTCCACACGCTTGCCTTTCTCGTGACCTGGGTGGAACCATCTGGAGGCCCCGGAGAGCGAGCGCACACTCTGCAAGTGCCTGGGAAGCAGAGCTGCAGTGGCCCAAGGGGAACGTGACTCCAAACTGAGGACCTGACTCATCTCACCCCGAGTTTCTACTCCCCAGGGAAGTGTTGCCACAGTAGGCTTCAACAAAAAGAGGCCAAAGCCGGACTGAGAACGCAGTTTGTCGGCCTCTTCCTTTAAATCCTCCAACGTATTCCTAATGACTTCTGTAAGATCTGTCTTCCAGTCAGCACGCGTCCTCCTGCCTTCTCCTTCTGTCGCCTTTCACCCCTTGAACACGGATCTGATTTTCTCTTCACGTGTCTGCGCATGCGTCATTGCGCTTAGACGTCGTAAAGGCTACTCGACAGGATTCCTAAAATACGCCATCTTCCTTTGTCATGCAGTGCGTTTGTCTTGTCAAATAATTAGCCACTGATTTTTTTTTAAACTTTCTTGTGTTTGGGGTTTATTCTGAACAAAGCAGACTGTTGTCCTGACTTTCGTTCTCCTCTTAAGGCAGGTGTCTGAGTTTGCCTTGTATTTCAGGGATCAACGCTGTAACTAAAAGCAACTTTGGCAGGAAAGGTGGTGTTTTTTCCCCCTTCTGACTCACAGCTTGCAGTCCATCATGAGAAAGAATAAACTGAAGCAGAGGCCATGGCGGGACACTACTACTCAAGGCTTGCTCAGCTTGCCTTTTTAAACCACCCAGGACCACCCGCGCAGAGGTGGCACCACCCACAATGGGCGTGGCGGGGGCCCTCCCAAGTCAATCACCCACGTCAATCATGAATCAAGAAATGGCTTTCACAGACTTATTTACAGGCCAAAACGATGGGGACATTTTCTCAGTCGAAGTTCCTTCTTCCCAGATAACCCTAGTTTTTGTTTAACTGACAAGCCCTACCCGGTACATAGCACACTTACCCTAAACCAATGCTTTTCAGCCTTTCTAACACTGCCACCCTTTAATGTTGTGGTGACCTCCCAAACACAAAATTATTTCATTGCTACTTCATAACTGTAATTTTGCCATTGTTATGAATCTGAATATAAATATCTCATATGCCGCATATCTGATATGTGACTCCCAAAGGGTCATGGCTGACAGGTTGAGGAGTTAATGCTCCTTCATAGGGGCCTTCATAGATGTGACAATTGAGTGGAATTGGTCCCATAGGCCCATGGGGCCTGGCACTTTTGGGAGGTGTGGCCTTGTTAAAGTAGGTGTGTCACTGGGGGTGGGCTTTGAGGTCTCAGAAGTTCAAGGTGTCTGGGTCTCTTGCTGCTGCCTGTAGATCTGGATGTAGAACTCTCAGCTCCTCCAGCACCATGTCTGCCTGTGTGCTGCCATGTCCCACCATGACAATAATTGAGTGGACCGCTGAACTATAAGCCAGCCCCAATTAAATGTCTTCCTTTACAAGAGCAGCCATGGTCATGGTGTCTCTTCACGCAATAGAACACTGACTAAGACAAGAGAGATGACCATTCTTGGGTCTTACCGAATACCCAAGCTCTGTCTTTGTCCTCTGAGGCAGAGTTCCCACAGCCCTCGACTGCCTGGCTTTTGTCCATAATGTACCCATAAGTTAAATTAGTCCCAATGTGACTCAGAAAGAGGCAGGCCTCCTTGATTAATCCCAGCTCTGGTACCACCTATCACTATGGCGTTGGGAAGTCATAGTTTATGTGGAATAGCCTCTCTGTTTAGAGAATTCTGAGTTTGGTCTACGCTTGTGGTTTCTCATTGGTCAAGAAGTCATAGGGCCATTTTAAAAGGCAACTCCACAGCAATCTTCCTAGGCCATGTCTTATGGAGCCTCAGCCCCATCTCTACTGTCCATCCCATAACCAAGAAGGTTTCCCAAGCTCACATTCAGACTTCTGGAGTGCCCAAGAGCACTCCTTCTTAACTAGTTCCCTATGCGGACGTTCGAGCTGCTCCGGGGCCTAGAAGGCTGTTCTCTGTTTCCCCAGCTCAGGAGACCATTTTTCTGTTTGAGCTCACTTCTTGGTGCTGCAGCAAGAAAGTTCCCCTACAGGGATGGAACAGTGTCCCCATGGTTCAGAGCACATCCTGCTCTTGTAGAGGACCAGAGTTCAGTTCCCAGCACCCACATGGGGCGGCTCACATTGGGCTATAGCTCCCTCCAGCACCAAGGGATCTGACATTCACACGCACAAAACCATACACAGACAAACACATATACAGATAATTAAAATAAATAAATAAAAACAAAATATTTTTTAAATGTCTCATTCTGGGGTGGGGGGGGAGGCATAGCTTGTTTATTGTGCTTCCCATCTCCCGAGGACCAGAGGGATCTTATGTCTATTACCCCATGCTTAAAAATAACTGCCCCATGTATCTGTTCATGTTCACACCTAATTTCAAAAAGAGGGCACATTTGGCACCCATTAGTCTATGTTGGTTAAAGGCAGGAATCCTCATGTGTGGTGGTTTGAATGGCTTGTATATTTGAATACTTGGTCCTTAGTTGGTGGGACTGTTTGGGAAAGATTATGTGTAGCTTTCATGGAAGATGTGTGTCAGTGGGGTTTGGCTTTGTGGTTTCAAAAGATTTACATTATTCCCAGTCTCTCTCTGTCTCTCTCTCTGTGTCTATCTGTCTGTCTGCATCCTGCTTATGTATTAGATTTAAGCTCTCAGCTGTTCTTGCCAATCTGCCTTTGCTCTGCCATCATGGACTCTCACCCTCTGAAAGTGTAAGCCCCAAATAAACTCTTTTGTCTGTAAGTTGCCTTGGTTATGGTTTCTTATCACAGTAAGAGAAAAGTAACTAAGACACCATGCTTTTTTTAGAACATCATTGATATTATTTTCTGCCTAACCTGATAAGAACTATACCAGCTCATAGCAAGTTGAGGAGGTAACAACAAACTGACATCCCAGCCAACCAGAACAAGTAACGGAATCCAGCTCCGATGAATTTATTGACCCTGTAACCATTCACCCCCAACCTTATTCTGGTATAAAATTTTTCACATTATTTCCAACTGGCTTTTCAGTGATTTGCAGCCATTGAAACTTGGACTGATACAGTGATCATGACAGAGTATTTCTTTCTCAATTCTGAACAACTACAGCATCATTCCTTATGTCCTATTGTGTGGACTCAAGTCTTCTTGAATTTTTCTCAGTGATGATAGTATGCTATAAGCTAAAGAATAGGAAATAAAGTAAACACTTGCAATTGTGTTTGTGTTGAGGGGGTGGGTTGTGGTGACCAAAGCAAATTGACCCCATAATGGAGTCATCCTGGATGTCATTTAGAGGCACCAAACTGAGAAATAACATCCCATAGAGTTCTCATTTTGGAATATAATTGACATCTCAGGATGAGCTTGGGATGAAACTAGATGAAGCATGTGCATGTATATTTTAAGTAGATCCAAAGTTTTGAGGAATTCCCTTTTGGAATGGCTCCAAATGATTCTGTCCAGAATAATGAGTCCACAATAACGGTAGACCAAACTTTGAATTTTTCTCTACAGAAAGATTATCCACATAAACCAGAACTTACCAAAGTCACAGTGCCAGTTAGAGGCAGAGCTGAAATGAATCAAGAAAACTCACCTCATTCGAATTATAGTCAGACTAAGGTCACTTATGAGTTCAGCCTTCTCTACATGTAAAGGATGGAGGATGAACCTGGGCTTTCAAGCCCAGTGATCCATTAGACTTTAACTTGACCTTATGTAAAATATTTGTTTCTTTTAGAATGACTTTCCAAATCTATAAAGCAAACGAAAAGCGATACCTCCACTTGTAAGGGTTCTTTGTTTCAACTAATATAAACTAACTGTAGCTAGACAGTAGTAGTTTATTAGCAGGATATGAGGAAGCTTATATCCTGTTAAGGTTGAGGATCCTGTTTGGTTCAGCTCCAAGAATAGTGCATCCTGTGGTTATAAAAAGCATCCAGAAGGCTGGAGAATCAACTTAGAAGTGACAGAAGGAATGGGTCAACCCAACAGCCAAAGGTACTGCCAGAGCCACAGCCAATGACAGCCAAAGCTAAGCCGGTGCTGCTAGTCTTTGATATTTGATACCATGCCCCAAATCACAATCCCTTGGAACCCTTTTCAGAGTAATAACTAAGGTGTGGAGTCAATCCCAGCTTACCTGGGGAATAAATTCTCAATCTCTCTCACTCTCTGTCTCTGTCTCTCTCTCTGTCTCTGCCTCTCTCTGTCTCTCTCTCTCTGTCTCTCTCTCTCTCCCTCTCCCCCCACTCTCTCTTTCTTCCTCTTTGTCTTTTTGAGACAGACTTTCTCTGCATAGCCCAGGCTGTCCTGGAAGTCACTCTGTAGACAGGTTGTCCTCTAACTCTGAGATCTGCCTGCCTCTGCCCGCCAAGTTCTGGGATTGAAGGCAGTAGTAAATTTTTAACTTCCCTGTTGTATCTGTTTCTTGCTACCAACTCAAAGTCTAGGCAGGTACCCCTGCTTGGCTAAATATAGATCATGTACCCACAGCCTAGCTGCAACAGAGTCTAAGACACACATCTAAATAAGTTTGGGTCCTTTACTGAGAATTTTCACCAAAATTCATCATATTATAATACATTCCTCAAACATTAGAAACCAATTTAAGGGATGATCAACTCTCCAAAGAAAAGAGACATAGATCTATGAGTGCACCTCATAGAGTTTGTGTGAGGCTTAAACAATATATGGGCTTTTCTAGAAAATAGTAAGAACAAAGTTCTTGTTTACATTTTCGTGGTCATCGTACTATAAGAATCAAGCTATCTCTTCACAGAAAGTCAGTTTTTCTCAGTTATACAAACTAAGAAAAATAAAGTAATGACTGTGAGTGTTCTCATTGCAAAGAACGAGGAAATATACTTGGTATGTAGCTGGGTCACATCATGACCGCCAAGGATTTGCAAAGCCATGATTTAATCCTCACACCAGAAAAGCAGGAGGAGGAAGGGCAGGAGGTGAAGGGGGAGAAGGCAGAGGAAAACATACGGAAAGAAGGAAATGAAAGGCAATGACAGAAAAGATGGAGGTAAAGAAAGTGAGATGCACGCATACACAGAACAGGGAAGAGATACACACGTACACAGAATGGGGGGAAAGACACATGCATACACAGAACAGGGAAGAGATACACGAGTACACAGAATGGGGAAGAGATGCACACGCGTACACAGAACAGGAAAGAGATACATGCGTTCACAGAACGGGGAAGAGATACACAGAACGGGGAAGAGATACACATGTACACAGACCGGGGAAGAAATACACGTGTACACAGAACGGGGAAGAGATGCACGAGTACACAGAATGGGGAAGAGATGCACGAGTACACAGAACGGGGAAGAATAAACAGCGGAAATCAGTGGCCCAAGCTTGAAGTTCTGGCACTTGGGAGGCTGAGGCAGGAGGATAGCCAACTCAAAGTCAACATGGGCTTTGAGGTAAGAGCTTGCAAAAGCAAAGGGCCAAAAGCAGGTCTTGATCACATAATTGCTGATTCCTGCATGGGGAGGGATCATTTGGAAGAGCCCAGGGTGGTCGCCAAGCTGTTGGGCACCATGTTCTCAAGGCGGCTCTCTTCATCTGAGGTGCCCAGGCCAAAAGTTTAATAATTAAAGACAGAGAAACTTAGAACTGCCCCTGGGCTTTGGGAAATTCAGTCCTTGTGACATGGACCGGTTTGGTGATAGGCTGTGTATGGCTGTGTTTGTTTTGTTTTGATTCGGGTTTACAAAGAGAATGTGAGGATTGGATTTTAATTTTCCTCCTGGCAGATCTTTCTCTGACATTCACTCTTCTTATCCATGCACTGACATAAATGCCACAAGTATGGGTGACTGAGAAATTGCCAATGATTTCACTTGAGCTCAGCTGACTTTGACTGGGAAGGAATCCCAGTTAAAACACAAGAAATAACAATACTGCTTCCAGAACAGTGTCCTTAAGACATCTAAATATGATGTAAATGTGAGGAAAACCCGACTTTCTGTGGAAAGGCACCTACTCCTCATCTTTTTTTATTTGGGAGTTGTCTTGCCCTCCCTCCATGAGACTAGATGGTATTGTAACCAAGGACTCCACTTTTCTTTCTGTTTCCGGTGCAGTTCACACAGATCAATCCGGTAGCGTTCTATGACATGAGGTTTTGTGGTTAGTCCAGACATGTGAAATAGGGTGGGCCTTGCATGACTCTGCTCTGTAGCTCAATGTGGGAGTTTAAGT